CCCGGGGGTCCTGCCGGGACACCCGTGTCGCTGCCCACGCGCCGCGCGTGGCGGGGGTGAAGCGTTAACGCAGCAGCCCCGCGGGGGCTGTGGTCGCGTCAGGAGCCTGCGGGACGGGCTGGTGCTGAAAGTTGTATTGAACCCTTCCCTCAGCGGGGCGAGGTGCAAGTTGGGGCAACCCCGAGCACCGGTGCGGGCGGGGCGAAGATGCAGACAAACCCTCGGAGCGACAGTGACAACATACTACTCAGTATGTGAAGCTAAAGGTGGTTCTGCTGATGTAAAGAATAGCCGTCTTGAATATATGTGAGGAAGTACTTGTGGAAATGGTTGCTGAAGCGTCCAGTTGCAGTTAGAAATGATGCAGTTGAGAGAAGATGGAAAACAGTCATGACGTGATCCTAGAATTCTGGTTTTTAGGGAGGTGCGATGTTTTCTTACTGCAAAAGGGGCCGTAAAGCACTATCTTCTAACCTCAGTGTCTAAAATTACTGCCCTAAGTTAATAAACAGGCAAAACCAAGGAGGTCACAGAGAAGGAAAAGTTCATTCCCCACACATAGAACCTAACATTTTATTATTTGATTATTAAAATATGTAATTATGATGTTGAAAGCTTGCAGGCTTTAAGTCCCCGTAAACTAGCAAACAAATAATCATAGTGGGAGGAAAAAACAATGTTAGGCATGCATAGCTGACTCCAGATACCTTTGTCCAAAATTTATATTTTCTGTAGCTCCTGAAATAAACTTAGAAGCAAGAACAAAAAAAAAAGAGCACTGTCTGGTACAAAATACACAGCTATCAGTGCAGCCATAAAGACAATTGCTTTCTCTAGTTAAATTTCAAAGTGTCTCCCACGTGTGTTTCACTAAGGAATACACTGCAGTGAGATTCCAACGTCAGGTAATGCAGCAGGATGGCTAATCCTCAGCAGGTCTTGCAATGGCCTCAAGCCCTGTGGTGAAATTCAGGTGGTGAAATTCGCCCCAAAGGGAATGCCAGTCACTAACAACCGTACTCGTTTCTAACCCATGAGTGTAAGTGAAGCTGCTGCGATGGGCTGGGCCTGGATGTCAGGCTGCAGAACTGAGCTCCTGGACAGGAGGATGGAGGAGGGTGTTCAAACAAAGCGAACAAGAGGCCGGCAGGTGGCTGTGTTTCACCACTGTTCGAGCCACCTCGCAGGCAAAACACTTCCCTGGTCTCAAAAAGCGTCATCTGGTCCTGGCAGCATCCCCTGTGCTGCCTGCACTGTGCGAAGAGGCAGGTGTGTGCCTTTGCCCGGGATGAACAGATGCGTTTTGTCTGTCTTGAGACACATTCACATGCCCGTGTGTACGTTGGTAGAACACTCTTGGGAACTGGAAGGTGTTATATTCTCTTTCAAATATTGTCATAGCGTGGATTTTTTACATCAACTGCTCATTGTTCTGAAACCATTTTCAAGCTCTTATGGAGCGAATTTGCATATGGATGTTCACGTGTGTGTGAGAGAATTTATATCCAACAAGCTATCCAGCATTAACACAGTCCTGCAGTAGTGATTAGTGCAGATATGGATACTTTTGATGAAAACAGAGGCAAGTTATTTAGAGGCATTTTCCCAGGTAGGCTTGGGAAGCAACGTTCTGTGGTGGTCAAGTCGTAATTTTGAGATTTTGGCCTTTTGTGTAATGTGACAGGTTTTAGAAACAGGTTCTTGCTGTTTGAGGACATCAGATGGCACTATGTGGTTGTCAGTGAAGCCCGGAGGAAGCTGCAGCCCGGAACAAGCCTATGTGGAATTCATACATGGAGGTGCAAGGAAAACAAACTCGACTGTACTTGTGGCCTACATAGGGGATACGGGGCAACAATAATTGACGCCATAACTCTGTCGCATGGTAGGAATCCACATCCACTGGCTCTATTGCTTAATGTACAACTTTGAAGAGTAAGCCAGATTTTAAATTAATCTGATAAATTGTGAGGAAGAAGTGGGAAAAATCTTCTGGCTTTCATTTTTATGCTGGAGGAAGAAAAAGGATAGAGAGGGGAAAAAAGATTAAATAATATGATTTGTTTTCCTGTTCATGGTTCAAATGTAGGTTAGTCTGAGATACATTTTCATTCAGTGACACTAAATACTTAGATTTACTTTTATTATGCTAGTGCCATTGATGTTTCAAATATAGGCCTGTGCCTCCCTCCCTGCAAACAGATTTGTGCACCAACATGGAGCAGAGATGATATGTAAAATAAATTTGAAATTCATTCTTCTATTACCATCATCTTGAATTAATAACACTCAAAGCTAATCCTGGAATTCAGGGAGGACAATGCAGCACATATTTTTCAAAAGCAAATACACTTTCATTTTTTTCTAGGAATATTTCTGACAGTCAAGCTTCCTCTGATTGCTTAAAAAAAGTACAAGCAAAGTATTTCACAGACCAGGTTTCTACTGTGAAATATTTTCCTTTGTTGCCATTTCCTTTAATGTCACAGTAAATAAGTTCCTCTCCAAACCATCAGTGTCAGCAGATACCGACAAATATTTTATTTTCTTGAGGAGGCTCTGTTTAGTTTATTGAAGCTCTTTCTTTTCAACTAATTGCAAAATACTCAGCAAATATTTGAATTCATTACTTATCTCATTCCCACAAATTCGGGAATCTCTTTGTTTAACAAATGGAGTTCACTGCTCTTGCCCTCAAGGTAAAGCATACATTGCAATCTCTCTTTTGCAGACAGTCTGAAAACCAACCTTTTCTAAGTGAATCAACAGTTGAAAACTATGTCTGTAAATCAGTAAAAGGAGAGAATTTGCCATGTTGCATCTAATACCCTTATACAAGGCACAAGCAACTCAAAGCTCTGTAATGATGTTTAACTGATTTCAACTCATGCTTTGGGGGATTGTAGTATTTAAATAGATTTTTAGCATATTGAAGTATAACATCCTATGCTCTGGAACTCAGAAAAACCTCAGTGAAAATGCAATAATGTATGTAATCTTCTGAATGATGTTGATTTTGTTCCTTTACAACACATTTCTGTTGGTTTTAGGAGACATGTTCTCTCTTAATTCCTTAATATTTGAATGAGCTTTCAATAAAATCTGAAATGTATGAAAGTGAGTAAGCATTCAAAAGAAAGACCATAGGATTTTTAAAAAAGAAATGAATAGCTCATTCAAACCACCAAACATCTGGCTTATGGTCATGAGATATTTTCAGAAGTACTGTAAAAATGAAGTGTCTTGATTGTTGGCCTTTTTGATTGTTAAATACTTCTGAAAATTTATCATAATAATACTTGAAATAAAAATAAAAACTACCTATTAAAGTGTGATGCATTAGCTACAAAATAACCCTTGGGTGTTCTTTGCAGAAATGAAAGAGTCTTTTACATCACTTTATATTGTAGAAAAAGTATTGGAAAAAATGACCACCAGAACATGAGTCACAAACCAAATGACTTCTAGCAATCATTCATGAGTGCAGTTTCCCTGCTTAGATTTTTAATAATATCCCATAATTATATAAGAATGCAATCTAAAGTGAGTGATTTTTCTGTATTCACAGTGCACATACAGCAAAATATCCCATTAATTCTTTCCAAAATGGAAAACCATGGGTGTCATGAAGTACATAAATTTAATAAGTTTCCTCAGAAACAAAACCATTTACAGCCTGTGTTTGAGCTGAAGCGTAGCGATGTCTGTACTGGTTCCATAAGTAAAAAGAAGGAAAAGCCTCTTCCAGGCAGAGCAACTGAGAACTGCTTTTTGCTGACTCACAAATTCTCCAGGCATTCCACTTCAGGAAGGGTGAGGAAGAAGGCTGTTGCACAGTGTAGACTATCAGATGGGCAAAAAATGTTGCCATTTACCTTCAGCCCAAGTTTTGAAAACTGAAAGAGAAAGATTTGTTACATTATCTTTTCTTTTCATTTTCACTTTTTGCTTCTGTTTGTAAACCAGTTGGGTTTATAGCACATGAGCAGCATAACTTCAGTACTAGACAGCTTTGTAGTCATCTCTTTCTCATCCTAATTGTCAGTCACTCACTGATTGGCCTAGTGAAGGAGATTTTATCCACTAATCTGTGTAGTTTATTGGTAGTACAAGTAGGGTATTGCACATTGATTATGGATAGCAAAGCAAGTAGGCAGGCTTTTTTCAATATTTAATTTTGGGAGGTTTTCAGCTTTTCTTTTTTATCTATTTTTGCATTAGAAAATCCCATTCTGGAGTATCAGGAAAAAAAACAAAGTTCAAGTCAAGTCCACTGAATGCTTGCAGTTAAAACAATAACAAAACCCCATTAGAAATGTTAGAATGGATCACTGTAGCCTTTCTGAAATGGTATAGACAGATTTTTCAGGTTAGATTCTTAAGGTATGTATACATGATTCATAAGTTTAAAACATAGCTGTTTTTCCAAGACAGCCATAAGAACACTCCAATATTCAGGAACTAATTTCCAAACACAGGCATATTTCTTCTGATCTTGTGTTTCTGAGGGAAGATTTACTATCAATAATGGGAAGGCATTGGATAGTCTCCCAGTGGCTGTTTGACAAAGTACTAAGCAAAACTGAGTGGAAGAAGGCTCTTTTAAGCAAATAATGATTCACCTTTACTATCTACTAAAAAATAAATTGTAAGAAAAAAGTAAACCATCTTTGAGAACTCTTCTTTCTGCCTGTGCTACAGGAATCGTTTATCATTTGTTGCCAAATCAGCAAATAGACTTACTGGAAAGAAAAACTGGCCAGAAAATGAACAGTCAAATTACATTGGAAACATTTCAGGGTACAACTAGGTCTCTTGCACATTTGTTCGGTAAATGGGTCAGCTATTTTGCAGTGAGGACCAATCAACACAAGATGATGTGTTAAGGGAGGAAAAATACTACATAGCCATTCCACTAAGAATACACATTGTTTTCAACTTAATGAAAAGCAGGAATAAGTTATTTTTAAGGTGAAACCATAAAAGAGAAGAGAAGGAAGCAAAGGTATGAAAGGACTAGTTATTCAAGGCTGTGGGAAGGCTAAATCCCAACAATTTAATCAGTAAAGCAAACCAAAATTTCCTGAGGTTTAAATAGTCACATCTTCTACTAAGAATGCATGAGTTGCAACCAGAAATACAACTAGGCCACACTTATAAATGCAGTGTATAGATAATTAAATCAATGTTTAAAATTGATTCCTTCTTGAATGTAAATCTATACAGTGATAAATTTGTGTTACAGAAACACCTCACTGAAAATTCAGTTTTCCTATTCCTAGCCCATTTGTAGGCATAATGATCTTTCTGTTTTACTCACCCAACTAGCCAATTACCTAGAACAATGAAACTCTATGCATTTAAATTATTTAACTACAGCCATTCTCATGTTTTAATTCTAAACAGTTAGGTGTTTTATCTCAAGATAAACTAAGCTATTATTGCCAGCATTGACTGCTGTCATCTTTTCTGACTTCTGAAATTCTTGCCTAGGAACACAAGCAAATGTTTACATATTTTGTAACCAAATATTCCTCTGAAAGAGTTTCAAGCCTATATCTACTATATTAGTGAAAAAAGGGAAGAGTGTGTTCTTTACTCTGTTAAAGATTGAGGCATACCTGGATTGACTTCCATGATTCATCACATCTTGTAATGAACATTATGTATCTCTTGCAATTTTAAGTGTACATCTCTGGTTGATGCTGAGCCAGGTATTTACAAGGTTTACACCAACAACCTACTCACACTACGTAGTTGTATCTGTGGGAATCCTGGTGGTGCACAGCCACTGAAATTGTACCTCCAGGACCCTCTGGACCTGGAGCAAAGCAGCAAAGCAAGATCAAGCAATACTTGAGCAGCAGTGGCAAGGAAATTCACTGCTAGTGTCCTGAGCCTGTGTTAACTGCACTAATGAAGCAATAACAGAAAACACTAGGGAAGGTAGACTTTTACCCTTTAAAAAAAAATTTATTTTTACTCTTTAGGAAACAGAACTAACCATGTAAAAGGTGGAGCTAGGTCCTATTTGTCCTAAGGATAAAAGAAGCACTTTCTGCACATGAGTCTTGAAGGTAACTAATGCCAAATTTGGAAGGCTAAACTTCAAGAATCAGTCATCCTTTAGAAAGGACTTTTGGCAGCCTGACAGCTGGTTAACCTAATGTGACCAGATGAAAAGAGGACAGGTCAGGAACTCACAGCACAATCATATCTAATTTTATAACTTCTAGGTTCTACAGAGTGCTTTTGTTTATGGATTTTAAATACTTATTAAGCAAAACTGAAACATCCATCCTGCTGTACAGTAATGAAGTAATTTGCCTGAAATCACAAAGCTGACAACAGATCTACCAGTAAGCCCCAGTCCTAGCATTCTTTTCATTATTTGGACAAACATGTATGGAAGTCAATTCAGCATTGTCTCATCACACATGATATTGTAGAAAAAGGGTGCTTCAGCTTTTCCTTATCCTGTTTGGATTAAACTTCTGCCAGCCCCATCCCAAAGCAATGCATGAGTTTCCTTATGGTCATGGTACTAGAAGTAGCATCTCCATGACTTTTCTCACCTTTCTGCCTACCCTGAGATCTGACTGGAGCAGAGAACAAGCCAATTAAGTGGGAAGCAGATTCTGAATATGGGACGAGTAAGAGATCTGTGCAAATTCTGGGAATCCACCTCAACCCCCTACCCCACCTCTTCCTGCCACCTCACAGTGCCCGCCCCCAGCTTCAGCCTGCTCTCTTAAACCCCTGCTGTCCCGTGCTAGCAGCAGCAATCTCTGCTGGTGCCTGCAGGACTGTACTGAGCAGTCAGCAGCAGCCGGAGGGACAGACATGGGGGTGCTGAGGTTGTGGAGCTGGGCTCCCCTGGGGCCTCTCCTCTCCCTGCTCATTTCTACCAGCATGGCGGTAAGTGAAGGGCAGTGTGAGAAAACACGTTGGTGCAGAACGCAGTGTCAGAGAAAATTCACTGACAATGGTATTTCTTCCCTTCAGTACCTTGCTACCAGAGATAACTGCTGCATCTTAGATGAACGATTTGTAAGTACCTGAACAATTTTTTTCTTACCTTAGGAGTCTAATTAAAGTTT